AACAACCTTTCTGGCATGGTAGGACCTGCAGCCAGTATAGCTTGTTGGGTCATTGCGGTGTTCAAGCCCGACCACCACGTCAAGGTAGCAGCTTTCGGTCGGGCGTTTGGATGTGTGTCTGTGTGAGTGTTTATTGGTGAGATTATTGTTTATGCGTGGAAAAATTAGTAAACAATTATTTCTTATCAAGTTTTGATTTGCAGGGATTTGATTGGTTGGTTACAGGTTCGATCACGAGCCGACTGATATTAGTTAGAGAACCATTGGAAAATCACCAGGAAGTACTGGACAGCTGATTCAATAGCTGCTATATGGCTATACCATGTGTCAGGTGATCCACGACGGGAAAACTCAGTGAAGCCTGCCTTCAAAGTGAAGACAAGAGTAGGACAGGCTGGTTGGATGATATTCTTAATTGTGTTGGACTGGATTATGTGGAAAACTGTGCTTGGGAGTGAGAAGACAGGAATACGTTGGACTACCGATAAGAAGACTTCAGACGATCTGGACTTCACCGATGATTTCTGTTTAATGTCACACAAACTCGAAGGTTCGCATTCGAAAATCAACAAACTGTTTGAAGAGGCTGGCTGGCTGGGAGCGAAGAGAGGGCTGTAGGTGAACATAGAGAAGGTGGAGGTGGTGAACATACTCACCGACCTACAGTAACGTACGTCGGTGGCACAGTGGTTAGGACTCTCGCCGACCATGCACATGGTCCGGGGTTCGATCCCCTGCCGACGCACACCCGATATCTTTGGTCGACCTGCAAAATTTGGGCTACCGATATGCACGCTGAAAATTCCATACTTGTGCTGAAAATACGGTGAGGCATCAAGCTGTAATCAAAATAATAAAAAATAAAAACAACGACAAGCACAAATTACACAATCGTTTTAACTACAGGTGGCACAAATAAAGATTGTCAAAGCCAGTCAGGATTGGAAGGGGAATGCAAACCTTAGTCACTCTGGAAATTCATATTTTCAACGCCAATCATAAGGCAGGGAGTTCTTCTATATAGGTCAGAAACTTGGTCCCATTGTCACGAATGGCATTTCGAACAGGCTACTGAGGACATTTATCCACAACTGCCTTCACTGGCTCCATACCGATGATGATCAGATGACCGACGAGAAAGCAATTAGCGACGAGGATCTGTGTGAACGAACTAATCGAAAACCTAATGCTCAAAAATCTATGTCAAGGAAAACGA